ACTCAGGTTCTGGTCACAAAGCTTTCAGGTCTGGATCAATAGCATTACCGGGTTTCTGGACCCATAACCAGATTGTCAAGCTTAGGTGCAACTTGATGGAAGGAATGCTAGATCTGACAGACAGTGTTTTGTAAAATAAGGACTCTGGAAGCTTAAGTTACAAAAGAAAGTTCAGTTTACTAAGCACACAGCTAAGACATCCATCTTTAGCGAGTGACACACAGGAAGAGACAATAAAACTGAAAGCTAAAATATTCCTCTGTAGTTGTTTATCTTTTTCTAGCTTTAAGCTGACAACTCCCTTGAAGTTCTCATCAGAACACAGCTTATCTTAAGTTCTCAAGTTTACATAATCACAGCTTCAACTCTAAACATTTCAACACAACATTTTTTATTTACAGTGGCATCCATATTTACAATATAAAGAAACACATTTAAAACACATACATAACTCAATAAATGTTGACAAATATTGTATGTAAACAATACCAAAATTCTTCAAAAATTAGTGGATGAGTATAATGTTCCGAAACTACGTAGGGCTTACAGTGGAAAATGTGTGGTACAAGAATAGCAAGTTTCATCTCCATGGCTCTAAAAATGAGGGAGAAATGAGCCCCTGAAGTTTCCCCACTTGCTCAATTACTTCATGAAAAAGTAATGAAATTTTACTTCATTACTAGTTACAAAAAAATGTAGGTCCATAATTTCAGAAACACTCTCCTCCCCAATTTTGTATTTATTATTTTATTTATTTCAGAGTTTTATATACCGACCTTCTCACCTCTTTTGAGGGAATCAGACCGGTTTCCAACCATAAAAACACATACAATCGGTAAAAACATCATAGTTCATATTGAAACATTTTTTCATTCATCACACAGTCCTAATATTATGCAGTTGTGTAAGCACTGAAGAAGTGAGTTTACATTCATGACAACTCATACTGAAATACAAATCAGTTAGTGTGCTGACACGCACTGGGTCTATAGCAATTGTCTTTTAAAACAGGACACGCTCTTTGTGCCCAGCGGGACGCAGGGGTGCCTCGGCTGAGAGGCCCTATGGATTTTCCTAAACAAAGTCTTTAGAAACTTGGAAAGTTTAACAAAGTTCTTTATTATTGCTTAGATCTTCAACAAAACACACAAATTCTTCTTAACTTGCCCACAAAGGACAGGCAGCTTGCTTCGTGAACTATTTCTTTCTTTTACAAGGAAAACCCTCCGACCCCTCCCTGGGCAATCTGTCTTTAGGCTGGCTGGCGTGGGGCCTTACTCCCGGTTCCAATTTGCTTTTTGGGTACCCGAGTAAACCTTACCGGCAAAAACTTTAGAGATTTTCCAGCTGGAGACTTTTGGATCTGTAAAACTGTTTTCTTCAGAAGCTTTAGGGCTGTCTTCCCCAGAGGCTTGTAGAGCTGTGAGGCTGTAAGTTCCCCAGCCAGAGCTTTGAGAATTGTCTTCCCGACGCTTTGGGACTATTTTCCCCAGAGCTTTGTAAGAAACGGAGCTTCTCTACAGGTGGGAAAAGCTCTCACGTCCTGTAACTGAGCTTCTAAAACGTTAAGACTGAACTAAAAACTTTCTTTTCCCTCCCAGAACCCTGGGGAAAGGGGTGGAACTAAAGAACTTAATGATGATAGGCAGGTGGCTGGCCCTATGGCTGCAGCCTGGAAGGAACCACCCAACTGCAAAATGCATGGCCAAAACAAACACATGCATAGAAAGGAAATTTAGGCTTCTGGTACAGCTGTACCAGCACAGTTAGATTTAAATTTGGAGCTACCGCATTTCTTTCCTTTGTGCTACAAGAGATTATCACAGTTACTTCTTTTAAAACATCTTCCAATGGATCAGAGTGGTCATGTTTTTTGGGAGGGGCAAGCCAGACATAGCTGGAGGGGAGTAGCTTCCTGGCATTTGGAAAGGCCCTGTGCTAATTCTGATACTATTTTGCAGAGAAACCAGAAGTGATGGTGACCCGGAAGGAAGAACATGATGGCATGGAGACCTTGATCTGTCATGTCAGGGGCTTCTACCCAAAGGACATTGACATTGATTGGACAAGGGGTGGGGAGGTCTGGCAGCAAGATGTCTTCCATGGCCTGGTGTCCCCCAACTCAGATGGGACTTACTACACTTGGAGGAGCATCAAGGTGGACCCCAAGGAGAGGGAACACTACAAATGCCACGTGGAGCACGATGCGCTTCAGAATCCTGTGGATGTGGCCTGGAAAGTGCCTGGTGAGTCATTTGAGGGGGGGGGGGTCCAGGGCATAAAAAATACTCAAGAGGCACTATTAGATGCCTCAGAACTGGCATTTTGAAGGCGGAGTAGCACTGCAGACTCTGCTGTCAGAACTCCAGCAGTAGCTATTGTGCGCAATACAGGTTATCTCTTACCGGGGAAGCTGAAAAACTCTAAAACTACCCACATGAGTGGTTGAGGTAGTAACACCTTCATTTCCAAGTGGTTCAATGCACACAGACTTTGAACCTGCAACCTGTCGGTCTTCAGTCCTGCCGGCACAAGGGTTTAACCCATTGCGCCACTGGAGGCTCCTTGTTTAAGCGCCCCACCAATGCCACACAATATGGGGACCTCTTACTGCCCCACTACTGTGGCATCAAATGCAGGGATCCCGTAGCCATTCCTTTTTTAAACATTCTTACTCAATGGTCAGTGGTTAGTGAATTATTCTAATACAGTTTACCTATCTTAAAATTAAAATATTAAGCAGGGAGGAGGGCAGCACCATACAGTTACACCCAGGGGCAGCTCAACCCATTACGCAAAATAAGCATTTGCAGTATAGTTGATTCTGCCCAGGGACGCTCTTGAGGCACTCTGGGGGGAAAATAGACCTTGACATATGCAAGTTGTAGTTACTGGGATGTATAGTTCACCTACAATCAAAGAGCATTCTGAACTCCACCAATGATGGAATTGAACCAAATATGGCACACAGAACTCCCACGACAAACAGAAAATATATATCGGTGATTGGTTGGGGTAGGGGCGGGGTGCCAAAATACTGTTTGCTTACTGTTGAAAATTGCCTAGGGCCACCTCTGGCTATTGTGCCACCGGGGGCTCCTAAAATCTCCTAAAGCTTATTATTTCACTTTGCCTACAACTGTTTAGTTTAATTATATCCCGAGAGGCTTAAAATTATTAATTTGACAGTTTTCTGGTATTGGACTTTACATCTCAGGGTGCTTTGAATGCGATTGTCCTGCTTCTTGGCAGAATGGGGTTGGACTGGATGGCCCATGAGATCTCTTCCAGCTCTATGATTCTATGATTCAATAAGACACAGTCGATAAGGAAAAAGGAATGGAGTTAAGGAGGGGATTAAGTCCAGCAGATGCTGGCTGTTCTTCCGTCCCTCAGAGGCCAGAAGAGACATGGAGAAAGAAGGTCCTCTCACCACTCATGGGGCCAAAATTTAATGGTAGAGCTGAACCTGGTTGTTCTTCTATTATGGCCACTTCCAAGTCCTGTTCTGTGGACTTTGACAGGGGATTGTGAGGTCTGGTCTTGGACTCCCTAGTTCATTCTCCATCTGTGAACTGCTCCATTAAGGGTTTGGTTTGGTTTGGTGATTTTCTATTAATTCTTTTGTTCTTTTCCATTTTACCTTTAGCCTCCAAATTGGGGCTCATCGGGTGTGTCGTGGTGGTTCTCCTCCTTCTGATAGCTGTGATTGCTGTGTATTTCAGTGAGTAAATTCTGAATGCATTTCTTTGAGGGGAAGAGGCATCTTGTGGTTGTGGGGAAGATCATTTTCCTTTTGAGGACCCTTTCTACCTTTGAAGGGGAAATTCAGCTTAGCCTACAACTTGGAGTCATGGACTATTCCGTTTGCCTTACCTTATCCCACAAAACATGCAGAATAATCACAGGATGTCTTAAACCTACAGCTGTTGATAAACTCTACAAGCTAGCTGGCATCGCCCCCCCCCCCCCCCCCCCCCCCCCCGATGTGAGACGGGAAGTTGTTGCTAAATGTGAGAGAAATAAGGTGAACACTGTAAAAGCCACCCACTACATGGCTACCAGCCTCCTCCCAGTAGACTCAAATTAAGGAAAAGTTTTCAGAGAACTACCACTCCTCTTGGCGTCCCCCCAGGAACAGCAAGGGTCTCCCTCTGGGCAGCTACACAAGGATATCCCAACTGGGTGGCCCCCCATGAGAGAGGGTCTTCCTCCAGGGGCAAACCAAGAATGGGCCACTTGGAAGTCCCTGAAGAGACTCAGAAGTGGAGTGGGCAGATCCAAAGACAACCTGGCAAAATGTCACTACCTAAAAGAATCCTATACCTTGTGTGACTGTGGAGCAGAACAGGCAACTCCGCATCTGTATGCTTGTCCACTGTACCCTGCTTCATGTTGGAGGCTACAGAAAATGCCGTTGCTGTTGCCCATTTTTGATCAAACGATATTTAGCCGCCTGTGCTCCATCTATTTTTATCAGTTTTATACTAATTTATGCAAAGCTGTTGATACAAAAAAAATATATAATATCCCACATCATGAACACAGACCTCAGCTTGTTGTGAGGGAAGGTTTCCCATTTGGCTGATGTCTTTGCTAGAGAGCCTGAAAGGCATCCCTCCCCATAGAAGGAGGAAGAGGAGGGTGTGGGGTCTTCTTGATCAGGGAATGAAATTGGGTTGATCCCTGAGAGTCAGCTGTAACTCCCCAATTCTGTCTCTGCAGAAAAACGTCAACACAGAAAAATGTCAGGTGAGTGTTACCTCCACCGTTGCATGTTTACTCCAGATGGGTGAAGTGCGTATTGGATTGAGATGGATTGAATGGAGACATAGATCCAAGGATGTTTCCAAAACTGTGGAAAAACCAACAGCACTGAACATAGCTATCCAGCCCCCTCCATAGAAAAAAACCTAGAAAACATAAATGGTTTCCAACCAGTCTGTACCACTTGGATGTAGATCCCAAAGACAGACATCTGACCCCGGTGGTCAAGTGCAGAGTGAACCAGGTTGAGGGGGGAAGCTGTAATTTTATGGGTTTAAATCCCTGATTCTTTCTTGGCAGAAAAACATCAAGATGACTACAAAACAGTCTCAGGTGAGTGTTGCTTTCCTGTTGCATCTTTACTCGAAATGACTGAGGCAGGAAGTTTGAATGAGGTGGATGAGTTGAGGCATGTACTTCTATATGTCCAAGAGTTTAGGTCAAAGACAGGACTCTTTTGAAAGGGGCTAAAATGGATATGACTTCTGCTCCCTCCCTGGAAGGTCCTAGGACTTGCAGAAAATCCCATCATCTCTAGAGGGGCAGTAGAGAGGTGAAGCCCTCCAAGGTCTTCTGGGGTTCTAATGCAGCCCTCTGGCCTTCCATGTTTGTCTCTCTCTGATAAAAGGGCTCCCACTTGGTCCAAGTATTTCTGAGCAAGTTGGTTCCAGTGCAGTGGTTCTCAACCTGCGGGTTCCCGGATGTCTTGACCTTCAACTCCAGAATTCCTAACAAGCTGGTAAACTGGCTGGGATTTCTGAGAGTTGTAGGCCAAAACACCTGGAGACCCACAAGCTGAGAACCACTGCGAGTAGTGTATTTAAGAGCCAGTGTGGAGTAGTGATAGGAACATTGGATTAGGACTAAGAAAACCAGGGTTTGAGTCCTCACTCAGCCGTTCATGCAAAGTGTGAGAACCTATCCACCATTGATGTGTGGGTCCTACTTTATAAATGTCTGAAACAGAAAGCACCATCCACATGAAAACAAAGAAGGAGCAAAATGGCAACTGCCATCAGGCCACATGTAATTGGAAGCATTTGACCAGCTTTTATGGAATATAATCACAAATTGGTCTGAAACACGCATGAGCTGTAATGTACTTGTACAATATCTATATCCGCCCTGAGTCCCTCCAGGGAGATAGAGCAGAATATAAGTAAAGTACTATTATTATTATTTTTTGAAACACTACAAGATGAGTCCACAGCAGACAAGATCACTCTGCTGGCTGTTGTATTGGATCACAATTTGGGCAAGTTGTTGTTGTTGTTGTTGTTGTTGTTGTTGTTGTTATTATTATTATTATATACTCTGCATCTGTATGCTTGTCCACTGTGCCCTGCTTCATGTTGGAGGCTACAGAAAATGCCATTGCTGTTGCCCATTTTTGATCAAAAGATATTTAGCCGCCTGTGCTCCATCTATTTTTATCAGTTTTATACTAATTTATGCAAAGCTGTTGATACAAAATAAAAAATATATAATATTCCACATCATGAACACAGACCTCAGCTTGTTGTGAGGGAAGGTTTCCCATTTGGCTGATGTCTTTGCTAGAGATCCTGAAAGGCCTCCATCCCCATGGAAGGAAGAAGAGGAGGGTGTGGGGTCTTCCTGATCAGGGAATGAAATTGGGTTGATCCCTGAGGGTCGGCTAATTTTATACTAATTTATACTATTCTTTCTCGGCAGAAAAACATCAAGATGACTACAAAACAGTCTCAGGTGAGTGTTGCTGCTGGCTGTTGTATTGGATCACACGTCGGACAAGTTGTGTTGTTGTTGTTGTTGTTGTTATTATTATTATTAATATATACAAGGGATCTTCATTTTGGAAGATTAAGGCCCCTTGGGCCCCTTGTAGATTGGTCCCTATAGCCATATTCTTTTAGAGCTATTGGTAAGGATAATTTTAATTACATTTCAACTCTGAGAAGCATATTATTTCAGGGCTTCCTCAATTGCATGGAGTAAGTGAATATAAGAAATAACTGAATAAATAAAATACTGTTTCTTCCAAGTGAAGAAAATTAATTTTAGCAAGTACACTTGCTTTTTGGAGCAGAGGCTGAGTTTGGAGCCATACCTGCAGGGCATGGGTTTGTTATGTACCTTCAAGTGACGTGCTCCTCAGAAGAGCCATGACAGGTGCTGACGACTGCTGGACAGACCACAGGCTAATCCGATCCACGATGGCTATCAAGATTGCCCCCACGCACAGACTCCAAGGAAGAAAGACAAGGCGCAAAATGAACACCCAAGCCCTTCAGGAGCCCTCCAGACGAGCCCTTGACCCACACTGGGTAGCATTGGCAGGACACTTACACAACTCGCATGGTTGCTCTCTTCCTCCCACTAACACACCCACACACATAGCTAAACAAACATTGTGCAGGCCTTGGAGAGACACGGCCTTTCAAAAGGCTATGAACAGAGGTTGGGGATTCCACCGGAGGCTTTTCCTGCCCAAAAATTGACCCTCTTGTCTATTCTCTCTTTTTCAGGAAGTGATAAAAAATCCAACATTTCTAAAGAAGGTAAGTGAATCACACCCAGCTCAAAGGGTAGAATAAATTGCACGGGGGAAAAGACACACAGAGATAGGCAAACAGGGAGACGGGATCATAGAATCCTAGAGTTGGAAGAGACCTCATGGGCCATCCAGTCCAACCCCATTCTGCCAAGAAGCAGGAAAATCTCATTAAAGGAGATTTTGTAGCCCTGGAAGAGGGTGGTGTAACTGTATCCTTCTACCCTCCTCCCTCTTTAATATTTGAATACTAAGAAAGTTAAACTAGAATAGTTGGGGAATAATTCACTGACCAATGAGTAAGAATGTAAAAAAAAAAGGAACCCCGATAGGATCCCTGCATTTGATGACATAGTGGTGGGTCATTAGGAGGTCCCCACATTGGACGTCATTGGTGGGGCACTTAAACAACCCTCATGGTTGCTCTCATTCTCACACTAACACATCTGTTGAAAGACCATTCATGAAGAAATGTTGGGGATTCAGCAAAAACTGTTGCTGTGGAAAGAAGGAAGCTATATACGAGGAGTGACTTAAAGAGCTGGGCATGTTTAGCCTGAAGAAGAGAAGGCTGAGAGGAGACATGATAGCCATGGATAAATATGTGAGAGGAAGTCACAAGGAGGAGGGAGTAAGCTTGTTTTCTGCTGCCCTGGAGACTAGGATGTGGAACAATGGCTTCAACCTACAAGAGAGGAGATTCCATCTGAACATGAGGAAGAACTTCCTGACTGTGAGAGCCGTTCAGCAGTGGAACTCCGCCCCTGAGTGTGGTGGAGGCTCTTTCTTTGGAGGCTTTTAAACATAGGCTGGATGGCCATCTGTCAGGGGTGCTTTGAATGCAATTTTCCTGCTTCTGGGTAGGGGGTTGGACTGGGTGGTTCATGAGGTCTCTTCCAACTCTATGATTCTGTGTTCACTTCGATGTACTAAGTTGTTAACGTGGGCAAGATAATCGCGGAAGCACTGAATAATGGACTCTGGAGTCTCCGGTAAAAAGCAGGTTTCAGCTCTACTGGAGCAGTTCAAAAATACAACATACACCATCAGTTGACAGACGTGAAGAACACAAAACGAAAGAGATAGGCACTTAAAACAAACTGCAGCTGGAAGGGACAGATGGTAATTTTGTCAGTGCTGATTGTGTTTAAGTGCAGGCCAAGGTCTTTAGGCACTGCACCCAGTGTTCCGATCACCACTGGGACCCTCTTCACTGGCTTGTGCCAGAGTCTTTGCAGTTCAATCTTTAAATCCTCATATTGTGTCAACTTTTCCAGTTGTTTCTCTTCACTCTTGCTGTCACCTGGGATTGCAACATCGACAATCCATACTTTGTGAGGTCAGGAGTATTGTGCTATATTATTATTATTATTATTATTATTATTATTATTATTATTATTATTATTATTATGCCATATCTCCATGCTGTGCAGTCCTGGAAGTCATAGTTTTCCAAAGTCCATATCCTTCTCTTGGTGCATTTACAGTATGGAATGAATGCCCTTGCACCCACTTTAAATGTCATGACTCCATGCAATGGAGTGCTCGTGGGAGTTAGTTTCCCAAGATTCTCTTGGTGCATTTACACTATGGAAGGAATGCTCTTGTACCCCACTTTAAAAACCATAGCTCCATACTATGTCGTCTTGGGAGTTACCGTTTTCCAAGATCCACACCCTTTTCTGTGGGGCAGCCAAGAGAGAGGGAGGGAGAGAGCATATCTGCTTTTCCTTGCTCCCTCCCGGGTTTTCAACAATGAGCAGGGAGAGGGATGTGAAAGAATATTGAAAGGAAATTGAGAGACATTTAACAGTGTGATAGGAAAAACATCCATTTCATTAAATAACTGAGTAAGACTGAGCTCTCCTTTGCTCTCCTCTACCACACACTTCCCTGCCTAATGTGATGAAGTGGTGGGAGGATTAAAGACCTGAGACATGGTGAAGAACAAGAGGGAAGGAGCTCTGAAATAACAATAAAAGCCAATTATAACTGAAGAAATGAAAATACTTCAGAAGAATTTGAAGGCAGTCAACAATGGATGGAAATTCCAGCAAAAATTTTGGTATGAAAAGAAGCCCAGCTACATATATTCATTGGATCAGATTCAGTTTCTTCTTACAGTAAGGTTCTCAGAGAGAGAAAAAGACCTCACAACCTCTGAGGATGCTTGCCATAGATGCAGGCGAAACGTCAGGAGAGAATGCTTCTAGAACATGGTCATATAGCCTGAAAAAACCTACAACAACCCAGAGAAAAGGATGTTTTGGAGCAGTCTTTATGGTGGGCATTGAAATGGCAATGCTATGAAAGCAGTGAAGATTGTTTATTTAGAACATCTAGAATCCCTAAGCATTTCCTGCCTGAAAAACTGACCCCCTGTCTTCTCTTTCCTTTTCAGCAAGTGAGAAAGGTTCCCGTAACTCCGAGGAGCATGTGTGTAAGTGAACCCTCGCTCAAAGAGATGAATGGCAACAGAAAGAGACATACAGTAGA